CAAAGGATTTAGACAAAAAGAAGGCCTAGACTATTTTGACACATACTCACCGGTTACTAGAATAACATTCATTAGATTGCTAATTGCCATTGCATCTCTATATAATCTAGAAATTCATCAAATGGATGTTAAAACCGCTTTCTTAAATGGTGAGTTAAATGAAGAAATTTACATGGAACAACCAGAAGGGTTTTCTGTTCCAGGGAAAGAAAAGAAAGTGTGTAAATTGGTTAAATCATTATATGGTTTAAAACAAGCGCCAAAGCAATGGCATGAGAAATTTGACAAGGCAATGATGTCAAATGGATTTAAAATTAATGAGTGTGACAAATGTGTTTATATTAAAAACACAGATAAAGGTTATGTCGTTGTATGTCTTTATGTAGATGATATACTCATCATTGGTAGTAATAATGACATGATTAAAACTACCAAGAAAATGTTAAATAAACATTTTTGACATGAAGGACATGGGCATTGCTGATGTAATACTTGGTATGAAAATTACCAAAACATCAGAAGGATATGCTTTGTCACAATCTCATTACATTGAGAAAATACTTGACAAATTCAGCAAAGATGATGATCATCTTGCTAGAACACCTGTAGATGTTAATTTGTATCTTTCTAAGAATGTACAGAAAAATATTTCTTAATTAGAGTATGCCCAAATTATTGGAAGCTTAATGTACTTGATGAACTACACTAGCCCAGATATAGCTTATGCAGTAAGCAACATAAAGTGTCCCTCAGCAGCGGGTTAGGACTAGCATAAATGGCGGATAGGATCAAGTCCGAGTAGCCATCACATTGGATCTTAGCATGAATAACTTGAGCATTCACGTCAAGAGCTTTCACTATGACACGAAATGGATCCCACAAGACCTATATGCCTCCACTCCTGCCCACCGGATTGACATGAGAAGAAGCAGTAAACCCAAGCTTGTTAAAAAACAAACCCATAGAACTCAGAGCAACTTTTGTTTCCATCAACACAATGATAGAAGGCTTATGATTCTTCTCTAACTCCTTCAAGGTGCGTTTGAAGGCTTTGTTTCCAGCACCTCTGCAATTCCAAATGAGTAACTTCATGGAGATAGCTTTAGGTGGTAGAGCACAGAGTCATATGCATAACGATAAGTCGTGACACATTCGTCGTCGACATAATACCGTAAGACAGCTACTCTTTAATGGAATTATGTCCATAGAATATGTTAAGTCTAAAGACAACATAGCGGATCCACTAACCAAAGGGTTAGCAAGAGAGTTAGTTGAGAATTCATCGAGGGGAATGGGACTAAAGCCTATGAAATAAGAGTTACCAAATGACAACCCAACTTAGTTGACTGGAGATCCCAAGATCTAGGTTCAAAGGGACAACCGAGTTGTGAATAACTCAGAAGGATCACTGGGGAGTTTATCTCTTACCCATTTCTTTGATGAAATAATGATGTCTGCAGCGGTTTAGGTTAAGTAATACTTTTAATGATTTTTATATCTAGGTAAACCTGGTAGAGTATGGCAAGATACTTTTCATAAGAATCACCTATGTGAGTGTGAACTGGGCCGGTTCTATAAGATTTGTGAAGGGCTACAAGTCTTTAGAGCAGTCATGAAAGACCAGGTTGTTCAAGGTCAAAATGAACACAATAGTGAGAACTAAACTATGTCTGGAGATATACTGTGTGAGTTCTATTGTCTTGGTTTACACAAACGGCTGAACAGTTCAAGACATCATGTTCACTAGTTAGCTAGTAAATCCGATAGTATCTCACAAGGGAAGGTTCAAAGCCAAAAGCTACCTATCCTTTGCAGAATATTTCCAATTTCTGTACTCTCTGTATTTACATCATGTTGTTGCATTTTCTCTCTGTCAATTTCATTCATGTGGGGGATTGTTAGAAAATTTATAAAGAGGTAGTTGTGAATTGAAATAGACTCCATTTTGAATGAAAGGGTGTAACCTTTCATAGTGTCTTTTTGTTTTAAAGGAAGGGTCAAACCTCCATTTGAATGAAAGGGTGCAAACCTTTCATGGCGTCTCTTTATTTTAAAGGAAGGGGTATGTCCCTTCTTCATACCATTTCTATTCAAATTGAATAGGTGCCAACAAAGCCTATATAAAGGCAACCCCATTCCAATTTTGATTGAATCCGAAAAATTGAGTCTAAAATTCTTGTCTCTTTGCTGTCCATTTTCTTTTAGTGCATTATTCTTCATATAAAATATTAGGAATAAATTTCAGAGAGTTATAGAACACAAGGTTCTAGTTCGCCGGACAAATGCCACCCTAATCCTTCACTAGCCCCTTCACCATTTCTTACTCTCACAATCTCCTCCCGCATACAGACCCACCCCCATAAATCTCACTCATAGCCCTCTCACTTGCGTCTTTATTCTCCCATATTCTGTTTTTGTTGCGATTTCTTCGTCTTTTGCGATTACTCTTTCCAGGTGGTGGACAAGTAAGAAAGAGGAGCAAGATGGTATGCAAGGAAGGGAGAGACACTAGGTGGTAGAAAGAAGGGAGGAGGGGCTGGGGGTTTGTAGAAGGAGCTAAGGCCCGTTTGTTTTGAGAGATATGAGTAGAATTGGAATTGAGATAGATATGAGAGTTACTATATATTGTGTTTGTTTTTGGAGATGGAGAGGGGATTCATAATCTCAGGAGATTAGGATGGGTCTTGGTGTTGGGATTGAGATGGAGGAAGTGGAGATGGTATTAAGAAATTAGTCCTATGGGATTAGATTTTTTTATTTTTTATTTTTTTTATTTACATGTTGGACATTTTTTTTAAACATTAATATTTAACGTTTTTCTATTTTTTGTTAAGTAAAAATCATAATTTTATTTGTTTTAATATTTTATATTTCTTTTATAGGTTAATAATTTAACAATCCTCACATTAACAACTACTATAAAAACAAACACAATTTTACTTAATCTCTTCACTATCAATCCCTTCACTAACAATTCTCGTACTATTAATCCCCTTACTATCAATTCTCTCCATTCTACTTATGAAAATAACTGGGCCTAAGGGATTTGTGTCAAAGGTAGAAAGGTAATAATATATACCAACATAATTTATATATAAAATGATATGATGTTTTGTGATACTTTTATTTTAAACTAAAAATCTATTATTATGATATATAATTGAAAAAATGACCCATCAAAGTTTTATTTGTAAATCACTTTTATTTGTGAAATGGAAACAAAACCTTTCAAATATATATGTGGTGTTTTGGAAAATTGGTAAAAAGTTTAATTTTTTAGTTTTTTTTTAATCTATTTTGTTTTTTTATAGATAAAAAATGTGAGAAGTGATGTGACTCAAAATAGATAAAAAATTAAAAGTTGATTTTTTTTTTTTTATTTCTCAAAAGACCCCTATATGTTAACGTACGTCCATACCTTACTATGGGAGAAATAATATTGGGATCAAATTTGAAATTAAGATTTGAAATCAAGAGAGGGGGGGGGGGGGTTGTGTTGAAATGTAGGTTTATTCATGGGATTAGCCATTAGGGAGGTTAGGATTATTAATTTAATGGGATCACGAGAGGGAGAGTGAGTGGGAAAAGGAAAAGATAATAGAGAGAAGTGAAAAAGTGAAAAAGTAAAAAATGTACACGTTAAATATTTTTTAAAAAATACATCTCAATTATTGTCTTGTAATTTGCACATATTTGAACCATTCAAATATTTTAATAGGATAAAAATATATTGAATATTCAAAACTTTCTTAGTTTATTATATAGATTTTTTATGAAATGATAAATTATATTGACTTCAATCCGGCCCAAATTTTTTTTTTTTTTATGGTTTTTTTTTTCCAGCATATGAAACCTTGAAGAACACAATTTTTTGGGTCTTTTGAGGGAAAAAATAAAAAAATGGGCCAGTTATTTAGAGTTGGTATCTGGGCAAATGGGCCCGTATTTATTATGTTGGACCAAATATTGGAGGTAACAACTAATTTCATTTCCCATAAAATGGGCCAGGTAGGAACAAAGTTTGGACACTAAGTTCAACATTTTGCCAACATCTTCACAGTCCAACAAATCATATTTCTGGTCTGCGCCAATGGTCAGGCCCACTTCAAGATTTTGATCTATGACTCATAATTATTACTATTTTCTTAATACATCAAGAATTTATCTTTGCTATAACTCGAAAACTAATAAGAATATTATATATGATCCATTTTTTTTTACAACTTTTTTATTTCATCGCATTCACGTCAAAATATAATTCTTCTTAATGTATTTTGTTATGTAATATGTTCAAAACATAAAATCAATTACAAACATCCAATTATGCAGAGACATGAAACAATGATATAAATTTAATGCTAAAGCCTTGTTTGGGAAGTAATATTTTTAGTTTAAAAGTTAAAAAGTCATTAAAAAAACTAAAAGTCAAACAACCTATACCAAAAAGTCAAAGATTCCATTTTCTCTTTATATTCTGTACATCTTTTTGTAAAAAATCAAAAAGGCATCCCAAACATGTTAGTTTTATTTTCATCATATTTTAGTTAAAAAGTCAAAAAGTTACTAAAAAAACATATTCTCAAACGAGGCCTAAATATCAATTTTTTATATATCTGGCTTGGAAATGAAATTCTTATAATTATCAAAAAGAAAGAAGTCGAGAAGCAATTAAAGGTGATTAACAAAAAAAGTAAGTTATGTTACTGTGTAAAATTGATAATTAACCCAAAGAAAGAAGTGAAATAGAATGTTAAGATTTCTCTTTCGAAGCCTTAATAATAATAATAAGAAGAAGAAGAAGAAGAAGAAAAAAGTAAGAAATTTCAGGAGAATGAGAAGAAAGAGAAAGGACAAAACAAAAAATAAAACAAGAATAGAAAGAGAAATTGAGTGAGAGAGAGAGAGAGAGAGAGAGATAATAGGGTGGATTATCATGATTGTAACCAAACACACCATCTATGATGCATTCATTCGACACACATCAACCCCACATCCATAATCATCATCTACCATACATCACCAAGCATCATGCAATCCAAGTCATCCATCCATCACCTTAAATAATAATAAATAAATAAAAAATCAACTAATTAGATTTAAAAAACGAGATACCTGATCTTTTGTGCTTTTACCTCAGATTCATTTTCAACCATCAAAATTGTCATATAATTAAATGGTTGATTGTGCATTTAGATAAACATTTAAAGAAAAAAAAATTACTTAGTCCTAAAAGACACTCTACTGTCCCTCTCTTTTGAATCTCTTTCGTGTAATTCTTAAGTTGTATTTGGTTAGAAGATTTGAGAATAAATTTAAAAAAAAATAAAAAATGTATGTGAAACTAAATGAAATATAAATATATTTTATTCATATTTCACTTATCTTTTTCCATTCCATTTCCTAATCTCTTTCTAAACCTTTCAACCAAACAAAGCCTTAGTGTACTACTTCTACTTCTAGCGAGAGGTAAACGTTTGAAACACAACGGTCCCGGCGGCCGGGAATTCATCCACCGTGCAACTTCGGCATTTCAATCCAAGTGGCTCGAGCGTGCTGGTGACACATGTCCACACCTCATGGCCGGTAGCACAGGTAGATGAAACCGACATTGTCCCTGGCCGAAAAACTTGCGCCACCTTCTTCAACACCTTACCAAGATCATCATGACCGTCGTAAACTGACCCAATGCACTCAAAGCTCGCGTAGCTGAACCCATCCTCTGGTGTAACGTGAATTGTGGAGTACCGATCACTATCAACTCCATTCATCGAATACCCACATGGCTCAAATCCAAAGTCACACAAAATAGCATTCGGATTGATATCTCCGATACCTGTCATCTCCGTCATCACTTTTCCGGCCATATCACCCAATTTATTGTCGTCAGGACACTTAAAAAACTTCCTGGCCAGCACTCGGTCGAGCTCAGTCATGCAAACTTCAACAGTATATGACTGCTCAGACATTTGCATTATCATGTCAGATTTATTACTAGCAGTGAACACGTGCCATGAATGACAAGTCAACTTAGAAGGCATCACATTTGCTTTTCTATAGCAAACATGACTAGGCAATACATCTTTCAAGTACAGCACTTCTTCTCCAAAACTAGTGTGAGGATAAGGTTGTGACTTGGGAAAAATAAAGCTACCTCGGCTGTACCTACACCCGCACAAAGTCAGGCCCACACCACAACCATGGTCCACCAATGGACGGACAGATTTCAACAGCTGAGTGGTCCCACATGTCTTGATGATGATCTTCGTGGGGTACACAAATAGACTCGACTCAGACAACACATAAGAGTCGAAGCAGTGGTTCCCCACAGCTGATACTACGGTGCATTGCACCGCATGGAGCACTTTCTCCAGCGACTCGAAGCTTATCCGCCGGAGGCCCATTCCGGCGGAATTGTCGCTGGAGAATCGGAGTTCTAAGCGCTTTTCGAAGCCTTCAAACCCAGAAACCGCCATTGAAAATGGAGAGAGATTAGAGATGATTGATACGAATAGGATTGAGTTTGAGAGATGGAAGAGAATTGTGGTGTGAGATATAGAGGGAGGGTTGTGTGTGTATATATAGAGAGAGAGTGGAGGAGAGAGAGGGGGCATGCGGGTTAGGGAACCAAGAATAATGATTGAGAGCATTTCTTCAATGGAAGATGATGGTTGGTTTTTGAGTGTGTGAAAGATATTTCATCAGAGAGAGGAAGATACAAATGTAATTCATACCCACGCGCGTACTCTAGTTCTGAATTTACTTAAGAAAATTTCAAGATTTTCTTGGTTCATATAATCATAACTTCTTTTTTTTTTTTTTGGATTATGTACTATAACAATATGCTAGCTAGTTAACATTTTGATGTTGTAGAGGGGTCGCTGGAGGTTTAGAGACGTTCATGTTTTATTTGAATCATGGATTTTGAAAAACCCCCCCCTCAAAAAAAAAATTTTGAAAGAAAAATGAAAATGATGAAAAAATAATAACTTAGTTTTTTTTTTTTTTTTGAACTGCAAATAATAACTTAGTTATCGCTTACATTATATATATATATATATATATTAATCTAAGTTCGTAATCTAAATACATTGAGAGTTTAGACTATAAGTTCGACCAAGTAGTCTAGTTGAAGAGTCCATCTATAGAAAGAAAAGATACATGTTATTGGAAGTAGAATATGGGCGTTGTAATTCGTTGCAATTTTAAAATAAAATTATAATTAAATTGTAAATAACGAATTAACAAATTTAATTTCCATAACCAAACTGTCAAACTACGGTTTGGACGAGACTGGCCTAAAAGAGTGATTCTATATGCAGAGATGTGTTCTTACTTTTTGTTTTTTTGAATTTTTTTTTTTTTGGAAGAAAACTGATGAGGTGAAAACAAGTCTGAATGATGAGGACAGCCTGGTCTTTTCTAAAATGGGCAGGTGGAGTGGGTATGTAGACATGCCCAAAAACACATCAATTGTTTTTTGAAACATAAAAAACAAAAAACAAAAGGATTTCATAGGCGTGGCAACTAAATTATGATAATATATCCATAAAATATTGTACGTGAAATCAAAGGCATTCACATCATATTTTTATGCTACACATACAATGTATTATCATCATTTTTTTTTTTTTTTTTTTGGTATTTATCAAAACACAATACTTGATCAAATTGTGTACTTCAATAACTTTGGTTCCCTTCATATGAACAAAATGTTGTGAAAAAGTGAAAAAACATCTTTGCCAATGCACATATAAATGCATGCATATATAAATATATATAATGAATTCAAACCCCCTATTGGAAACATCTCGATCAACTTATTTTTGGCTTCGGTTGTCATCAAATTATGTAGTTTTGAATTGAAAAGCATGTTTATTTACACCTTCACATCTCATTATTTAGACAGAAGAATTATAAAATGTTATAAATGAATTTCTTACTTGATCTTATCTCGCTACAAGCAAAACACAATTTTTTTTTTTTAAATACAAAAATGCACAAAATACATCCATCTTAATAAAGTGTGGGCGCTATTCAAGATTGCACACTTTTAATTTTGATTAAAAAAAATTATAAGATAAAGAACTAAAATTGAAAGGGAGAATATGTGTCAAGGGGAGAGAGAGAGAGAGAGAGAGAGAGAGAGAGGTGGAATATGCAATGATGTGAAATTGTGAGTTTAGGAACCAAATTTGAAGTTAATAGAGAGGCATGAATTGATTGAGAATGTATATATGGGTTGCATGCCTGCCCACCCACCAAACCACACAATCTCATGGCCTCTTTTTTAGAATAGGTTAGAAGTTAATTTTTTGATTTTTATTCTCTTTTAAGTCATATTATTTTTTAGTTTTTTATATGTTTTTTTTTAAATATTTAAAAAACTTAAAAAACTAACTTTTAACTTTTTTTTCAAAACAATATACTCTCTCCTCATGTACTTTAAAAATAAATAATAATAATAAAATTAAAAATGTATGAACTAAATTTATTTTAATTCACATCATATTAAATTTAAACTTACTATATATACATTTAAATTATGAATATATTCTAAATATATATATATATATATATTCTGAACTCTCTTCCATATAGGAATGGTCAACCAGTTCCAAATCTAAAGAGGAAGATACACCACATATTGGACCTAACCTGTTTGTAAAGTCTGAAAACAAACTCTTATCAAAATCCACCTTTTACATGAAAAGATGTTACCACAATCTCCCTTTTTAAGATTAAAATCTCTTGACTTTTGATAAGCAGGGGTCAAAAAGAGAAAATAATAATAATAATAATTTATAACCCTCCTAATCTTAATTTGAACCCACCAAATATCTTTTTAATCTTAGACACGGTGACCTTATACTCTAAGGTGTTATTATTGATAGAAAATGTGAAATTCATAATTTCGTATTGGATAATTGAAGAACACAATAAGACATAGTGTATGATAATTACTGAAAAGTTTGAATACGTAACGCTTTAAGAATATTCAATAATTTTTTCAGACTAACTGACCAAAATAATAGAACAAATGTCGCCCAGACAACCACTATGGTTAGGGACTGTTTGGCAACTTTAAAATAATTATTTTTTAGTTTTAAATGCATGTTACTTTTAACTTTTTTATTCACAAAAATATATTTTTTTTAACTTTCTACACATATAAACCTTTTTAATTCTTAAAAAAAAAAAACACACAAACCTATCGACTAAAGGACCACTGGTCCTACTAATAGGACCAATTTGTCCCCGACAACATCATCTAATTTATGTGTCCCCATTCATTCATGGCACACACATCATATTGTGGTCCAATACTTCATCCAAAAATCAATTAATTTATGGGCATGTTGGACCCACCGAGTCCCCAAATGGGTTGACATTTGAATTAGTTATTATCAACTGATTTCAAACGAATTTTAAACAAGTAAAATATAAATCGAATTTAGTTTGAATCATTTAATTCATTTAACAGCCTTACATAAGAAAATGATATGACCTTTAGCACTCTTTTATTTCAAGCCAAAATACATACTCATTATTATGTCTTGCATTTTTTTTATTTTAAATATCACTATTATATTATTCTGTGTAAAATTTTTGTCAATAAATTATTTCTCTTAGAGGAAGGAGAGAGTCGTGTAGAGAGCACTATAAGACATATGTGAGTGAGTGCTACTGTGCCATGCGCACATTAGAATATTGTGCTATGGGTAGTGGTGGTGGTACCCCAACCACTCTTTTTATAGTTGAAGTTGGTGGTACAAAGATTTTGAAGTTGAATAGTTCTGTGTCCAAGCTCTTATTAGTGACTGCACTTTTCAATGACAAAGTGCAATTCAAAAAGTAATGTCAACACTGGCATTTGATGTGGAATGGATAAGAACTTTTGGTTACATTCAAGTTTAGAGCGCACAAATTCATTGGCTTGGATGTAATTGATTGGGTAGGGTCGATATTTAGGTAAAAATTACACTGAATTGATAATTTCAGTTTCATTATTTTAAACATCAATACAGACCGCTTCTCTCATCAAATCGCACAGAACCGAACCGATTAAAACTGTTCGGTTCGGTACTGTTTAATCGGTTTAAGATTTTTTAAACTTAAGTCACTTTTAAATATAATTATTAATCTATATAAAAATATTAAATTAACTATTTGTCTACCATTTCAAACATATCCAATCCATTAATTTAATACATACTTTTCAATTCCTAAATTAACAAAAATAAAAACAAAAAAAAGTTCAAAAATACTAAGGTTTAAAGAATAATAAGATTATATATAATAAGAGTTTACAAACTTAGATTATAAAGATGATAAGGTTAATAATTTATTATACTTATTAATACTATTATATTATGAGATTACATATATATATATATATATATATAAATATTATAAATACAATATATGTTGAAGCGGTCGGTTTCGATTTAGATTGGTGCACAAGGTGCTTAAACCGATACCGAACCAAAAATCACAAAAAATCAAATTTAAAAATCGCACAAACCGATTCTTATTAAAAAACAGACCAAATATAATCAATTTAATCTAATTCAATCGGTTTGATCGATTTTTTCAATTATTCTTGTACCCCTAGGCTTGGGTTTTTCAGTCACCACGTACATTGATTTAATAGAATCAAAATCTTTATTAAATTTCAATCAGTCACCAGTTTAATAGAAACAAACCCATATATATATATATATATAAAATTGGGTTGAGGAGGTGAGATCAGTTGAAAAATAATGATTTTTTAGCAATTTTGAGATGGATTTGAGTGGTTTTGTATTATCTTAAATGAAAAGGTTGCAATACAAAAATAATGAGTTGAAACCATTAAATTATGAATGAGAATTGTCTCATAAAATGAGTAAATATCAATAAAAGTTGGGCTTGGACCTAGACTTGGATTTAGACTTGGACTTGGACTTAGTCTTAAGCCTCGTTTAGAAACATGCTATTTTAGTAACTTTTTAACTTTTTGACTAAAATATGAGGTTAAAAAAATTAGTATGTTTCGGGTGACTTTTTGACTTTTTATAAAAAGATGTGCAAAAAGTAAAGAGAAAATGAAATTTTTGACTTTTTGGTATATGTTATAAGCTTTTTGATTTTTTTTTTTAACTTTTTGACTTTTAAGCTAAAACAGTTACTTGCCAAACGAGGCTTAGTCTTGATTTGGACTGGCCTAGGTTTGTGTATGTGCATGTGTTAGTCTTGGGCATGAGCCAGATTGTGCTATACTAGACTGGGCTTATCTTGTGCATATATTTTAAACTGGGTTTGGATCGGATTGTGATCCAACACCCGTATTCATTTTGTAACCCATCTAGTTAGATTATTTAAATAACATTATACATATATAATATAAGGGAGGTTTTCAACTTTTGTAACTTTCATCTTTTGATGATGGAATTGATAATCATATTATGTACATAGAAGTTTTGCACCTTTGTAACTTTAACCCTAATGGCTAGAGTTGATGGCCATTGATGTTAAGTTTTATGGTAGTCTTCATGGCTCAAACCCCTTTCATACAAGTATAAAAATGGCCTTCCCCTCCAACTTAGATAGATGAGATAGAAATATTTTTGAGATGAAAAATTTGTGATTTTCTTTAGATAAAGTTAGTGAAAATTTTTATACCAAAGAAATTTTTCTATTTTCTTTGTACTAACCCTTTCTTTGGTTCTTGCTAGAGAGAGAGTGT